TAGATAGAGGAATCGGGGGGGGGAGACTCACTCTGACGGTGTGCCATATCTCTTCTCCATGTTTGCACTCCTCATTTAGACAGAGTTACTTGTTATGGTCTGAGGGAGCGCTTCTCAAACTCTTTTAAACTCTGAAAATTATGTTTTGTCTCAATAAAGAGAGAAAAAAAACGCTTGTACATTTGCAAGTTTCAATTGAAATAAAAACATTCCCATCCTGGAAATACAAATGGGGAAACTTGCTCCCTGAATGAAGATAAATGGATGTTTCTCACAACACAAACACTTCAATCCAATATGGCTGATGAGTTTGACGCAAACGATGGACCGTTATTATTAATTCAATATAGTTGGAGCCTAAATATGTGAACTTTTTAGATGAGTTTTTGGACGCATCTAACGATGAGACTTACTTTAACATTAGCTTGTATTGCTAATATTCAGAGGTGTCTCGATGAGATACCGATTCTGAAATCAGTCTATCGATCAGAAAAACTGCTTTCGGATCACATTAACAGCATTTCTGTCCAGCACTGCTTGTGTCTCGCACGCAAACATGCTAGCTAATAATAAATGGGTCGGTTGTTCTTACGACTATCGTTAATATCACTTGATCAACCCTTCTCTAACATTATGCTCTACAAAATAAAATTTTGTATGATTTGTGATTATATAGTATGGGTGAATTTCAGTATTATTCAGTACTCAAAGCTGCAATATCTGTACCATATTGTAAGTATCGGGACAATTCTACTAATAGTAATCACCCTTCTAACGAAGCATAAAAACTGGCTATGAATGTCGGGCTTCCTGTTTAGCACTAAATACGCTTCACTGGTAGTCGTGAACGTCGGTTGTTTTTGCTAGCGTGCCACTCAAGAATCATCAAGCATATTTCTCTAGGGCTGGACAATAAATCAATAACAATAGACCTCATAGATATGTGATCAATATCAATAGATAATGCATCTGACAGAATGTACCTTCTATTCAATATACAGACTCTTCACTGAACTCCGATGCAGAACCGCACAGCATTCTGGGGAATGTAGGCAGAGGAAAGAGTTTACCTGCTCAACGTCTCACAGCCTGCATCAACTAACTCGCTCGCTCTTTGGTTACCTAGCAACAACCTGTTGAATAACCTGGGCAACAGTAGTTTCAGGTTTTTACTCTGTGCCTCATTCCTGCTTCAAAATAAAAACGACGGCATGGAAGAAAAACTTTGGAAAATAACAGGAAAGATCACACCGCTGGTTTGGCTGTATTTTAGATATTTAACACAAATAAATCAATAATTATATCGACAGTTATTTATAGACTGATGTGAAACGCTTGTCATAAGTTTTTTCGACCATATCGTCCAGCACTTTATTTTTTTCAGATCTGTGTAGCTGCAGGCTAAGAAACGATTGAAATGGTCTTCAGGGTTGATTTAGACATATAAACCAGGTACTGGTGGAGGGAGGGGGGGACCTAAGGGCTTTTTAAGGGTTTCTGAGTATAAAGAGGCTTTGGGGATTTAGCTGAAGCATCTAATACTTGTATTTACACCAATGCAGTGATCAGGCTCTCAGCAGAAAACCAACAGAGTATCAGATCCTACTTGTTGAACAAAGGTCGCCCTGTGGACCTGTAACTCTGACTTTGAGGTTAAGCTGTCTTGCACGTCTGGATGCAAATTGTAAGTTGCTTACCTTACAATTCATAAAGCAACTGTCTTGGTCAGTTTCCCACATCCTGTCCGATCAATCATCAGCTCTGCATTTATCATTTATCGGGCCTCTGATTCCAGCATTGAGCTCAAATGTCTGGAGGAGCCATTGAGCTCACGCTCCTTGTCCTCCAACCCCGGTAATGACCTTCCTTGCAGCTGCGGTGGAGCGTTGAGTTATGGGAACGGGCAGTGGGCCGTGTCAGCCAACATCGCCACAAGATGCTCGGCGAGAGGCCTGGATTGTCTGTGTTCAGCAGACTGAGGAGTGGAACCAGATCAGGACTCGCTGGTACCTCTCTCTGTCCTCCTGTAGAACCACTTGGAGTCCTGTGCACAAATTCAGACATGTGCACAAACTGAACCTACATGCAGTAATGGGCTTCTTTAAGTGCTTATCTGGCTTCAATACACACTTATGCTCTACTTCCAGCCTTTAAATCTCATGGATAAGACTCTTGTGTTGCTCTGTGTCTGACAAAAAGCAAAGCAGCTCAGCTTGCCTGAGCCTTTCCTGTAATTGTAATCTGCAACTGCAAAATTTGTAGGCGAGTTTGGAGACTCGGGGTGCAATCTTATACGTCTGCTTCAATGAATGGCAAAGGGATCACTCGCAAATTTGATTTAGCTGCCAGCATTTTAAATGATTCCGGCAGCAAAATCGACTCATTTTGCCGCCCTCTGGGAATGACGGCTCACGTTAACACAGCGGCATGATTAACGGCTTCTTGACCGTGTTTTTCTTGAACAGAGCAGTCTCTTTACACGTCTCATTCAGGCTGATTGTGACACGCAGCTTGGCAGGCAACGGCCTCGGCCCGGAGACCTGCTGGGCTGCTGCCATTATACATCGTCGGTCAACATTTCAGTGGAGCACAATGCCGTGTGGCCCCGCCTGAGGCGAAGGTTGACTTTGAGGTTAAGCTGAGGAAAGTCTGACAGAACGGGGAATGATGTCTGATTGCTGGACCAACTTTTCCAAGAGAGTCTTTATCCGCATTCTTAGAAAGCAATCCAGTGTAAAATACTGCGCATACTGTGAGTTACAAATGTATTGAAATATCCACAAGTCAAAGTAGATTGACATTCACAAACATTAATGTGTTTTATTGAGATTTTATGTGACAGACCCACAGAAAGTTGCACCAGACAGGGAAGAGGAATGAGAATTTGTTGGGAGAAGTTTTGAGACATCATCAAAGTCACTCTGATACCCCTAAATAAAACCTAACTAAGTAACTGCAGAACGCCCCAGATTAGTAAATGGCGTTTAGTTTACTATTCGTACAAATCCAACTGTTCTGTGAAAGCCTCAGAAGTTGCATCATTCAGACCAAGGAAAGCATCAAAACGCAGGTAGTTCTCCAAAGATTGTTGTATTCAACCCCCATACTGGTGGTCTGTCACATAACATCCAAACAAAATGCATTGGAGCGTATGGATGGTTGTAATGTGAGATACTGTAAAACAGTTGAAAGAGTATACATCCTATATGAGACATTTTTATCAGATTTGGCCACAATGAACGATCTACAAGGTTGGGTTTCTTCAGCGGTTGGTTTCGTCAACAGTATGGGGAAAGACATGTCACTCAGAAGCCATCACCGATGTTTGAGCTGGGGACTTGGGATTCAAACACGCTGCATTATAGATTTAAAGGAGCCTTTGCGCTCGTTATCCGATGGCTGTGGGATTAGATTACACGTTTGTTTCCTAATGCGCCATTCTCTGTGCAGCGCACTGTTGCTTTGCGCTGCTCACATTCCCTCCTCAGCTGACAGATGGTCTTATCCAGCTTCTCTCTGACAACAAACACAAACTGAAGAGTTGCTGACAACCTGCTTCAGGAAGGACTTGAACTGGCCCTCAGGAAGTGTGCGCACTTGTGTGTGTACAATCGCAGACACACACACAGGGACTCATCATTCAGCTTAAGACTCCTACACAAATAATCGAGGGGTCCAGCCTTGTGCGAGAGAACTCTGACAGATGCCAATCACCTGGCCAACCTGTAAACATTCCTTCGGCGGACACAGTTATTAAATTGAACTATACAAATATAGCCAATCTAATGCTATTAATCCTTGCTTATTGATGTAACCCCCATGGTAAATTTAGATCTGGCTGGAAAGGCGGCTAAGATCAGATTCCTCGGGGGAGTCTGTTTGGAAAGGTCCAGAGATGGTGTTTATTTTAAGGCCTCATGCCGGACATGTTGATGGCTATGCATTCTTGGGTGTTCAGACCTCTAAAACACCTCAAAGGAATGTTTCTTGACAGTTTTAACCGCACAGAACATGACTTACAAAAAAATACAGCCCCAAATCCTTTTTAAGGGTTTGGAGCTTCAACCCCCTGTGTCCAAAAGCTGCTCTACAGGCCTGATGTCCCACATTTCCTCCTTGGCTTCTATCGTTATATCCTAGCAGACCTCTGTTTGGATCTCTGTGTAAAAGCCAAACACAGCTAATTGTATTTGACAGCTTATCCTTCTGGTTTCTTTCCACTGCAGCTTGGCCACACAATTAGTGTAAAAGAACCTCAAAATATTCCTCCAAGGTGGTTTGAGAGTAAATCTCACCACTGAAACAGGATGTTCCTGCTCCTTGAGCGAGCACTCATGCTTGCCCAGAAATTTATGTGAATGCTATCCGTCCCTGCCTCTCATTATAGATGGCAGAGGAGTGTGTTTGTCTATGGTGGGGCCTGTGACCTCTGCGGTTGGAGCAGCAGCTTCTCCGCTCTGCCTGTAGTTGGTCGCTGAACCAAGGAGAACGTATCAAACAAACACTCCAACGGCGCGCTGACAGAAGAGTTTGTACCTCTTGGCGTGCCAGTACATGTCCGCTACATTGTGTTGCCACGGGCTCGCACACTTTTCTGACCTTCAGAGAATGGCGTTCTACCAAGAACGGGAAAGTTTAAACCCATCATGGACCTCCACTCTGTGGTACAGAACTCACTTGTTGACCTCATATCAGAGTGCTTCATCTGTTTTCTCTGACTTCCCACAGAAAGTCACAAGCAGTCTCTGGTGGGAGATTTCCCAGATCTTTTGATCCTCTCAGGAGGTATTAACCCATCAACACAGAGTGTCAGACCCTCGGTAGCACTTATCTCTAATGTCTGGTGTTAGGTTACCGTTGTGGTCATGGAAAACCATCAGATAAGTTCATGTTGCTATGCCGCAGCGGCATGAGGAGTATGTCAGTTGCGTGAATGAGAAAATGTGCATACATAAATGTGTTCAGCTGTCATAAACGAAACCGTTTCTGTCTCCATGCAGAGCTGAGGTCCACTGGTACAGCTCATCACTTCGCCTACCTGCTGAATGCGTCCGACTACCGGATCCTCCGTATGGATGAGGACCACGATCGCATGTATGTTGGCAGCAAGGACCACATCCTGTCCCTTGACCTCCATGACATCAACAAGAGTCCACATATTGTAAGACTTCTATTTATGGCTTTCACTATGACCCTAATCTGGGATAAACATCTTCACCTCAGCAGCTGCTTCCAGGGCAAAACCACAACACAAAGAAGCACAATTGTGAGGTGGAATCAAAATAAAGGCTTTTTGACGTCTTTTCTAAAATATATTCTTGCATTTACAAGCCTGCTAGTTTACATCTCTATCAGTTTTGTACATCTGGAGACGTAATGTAGTTGGTTGCCTGTTCAACATATTTAGCTCAGTATGATTGCAAGAAGATCATGAGAGAAGATACATTTTCAAGTCTTGACTCAGATTTGAACTGGATCTGAACTTTGACTAAGTCATTCTAAAACACAATTAGTCATGTCTTAAGATGACTAATTATCTAGTGACCAACAAACGAACCTAGTGAAAGTTCATTTGTTAGGGCTGAACATCCAGTCAGAACTAGATCAGATTATACAATAGAACATTCATGTATAATGATGGCATAGTCAAAGTTTTTTTAGATCTAAACTTTGACTAGGCCATTCTAAAACATAGGATAGTCATGTTCAAAGTTAGCCTAGTGAAATCAATAGTCTAGTCAAAGTTTCAAGGGATTACACAACCTCTAGCAGGTTTTCTTCCTGGGTTTTTTTCAGTATCCCCCTCTTCACGACTTTTCCACCATTGAAATAAGGGAATGTAATTTACAGGCATTACGTACTTTTCAGAATTTTACTTCAGTGTTTAAAACCATGAATATTTTTTCCTTCTACTTCACAATTATGTGCTACTTTGTCTTGGACTATAAATCCCACTGAAATGCATCAACCTTTCTGGTTGTTTCGTTCCAGCAGGAGCCTTATTGGTTGTTTTTATTGGACTGCACTTTTTTTTTCACTTTGGTTTCACTAATGTGAACCATTAATATCTATTATTAAACTATGTCAACATTATAGCCATTTCAGAAGAACTCATATTGACATTTGTGGATTTGTCTTTGGACTTTTTTTAAACGACACTCGTGTGTAACAGGTTTGATCATAGCAATGAAACACATTCTGGTCTCGCCTTTGCAGATCCATTGGCCAGTGTCCGAACGAAGGCGGACAGAATGCCTCGTGAGTGGGAAGGATGCCAGCGTAAGTACTCGTGAAGACGGCGATCGTAAAATCTGCAGGGTCATTCCGTTTGGGTGATTCCCTCTCTTTCAGAAATATGGAGCACTGAAAGTATGCAATTCTCTCCATTGCTGTTTTTTTCCCTTCCAATGTGGAAGGCAAGTTCGAAAAGTTTTGAAATCAGACGAGTAAAAAAATGATTTCCTCCTGCCTAGCCAAGTAGACATCAACAAATTGCAGAGTGACTTCCACAGGATGATAATTTATGGAATATTTCTACATTTTGTACTGCTTCATTTTGCTAAATCAGCAGACAGTGCACATGTTAATAAAATGACATGAATTCCTTTTTATTTGGATTTAATTTCAAGGATAATTTCCCTGTGTTTCCTGTTTCCAGGAGGAGTGTGCAAACTTCATCCGTCTAATTGAGCCATGGAACCGGACTCACCTATACATTTGCGGGACAGGAGCCTACAATCCAGTCTGCACCTTCGTCAACCGGGGGCGTAAACCTCAGGTTAGAAGCCAGAACCTGATCAATGTGGAGCCAAAGAAGGCAATCTCAGTAGAGAGAAACTGTTTTCTCCACCCGCATCATTAAGGATTCAGCTTGTTGCCTCACCTGTCAAACTTTTCCCTCCTACCGCCTTACATTGGCCCTGTCCCGAAATGCTCACCACACCATATGCTCGTCTATGAAGTGTGTACTCTTCTCAGAGTGAACATAAGAGTTCAAGTGCACATGCAGGGACGTACCAATCCACTTTTTTAACGTCTGTGTCTGCTCCAGACATCTGAGGTTCAGTTTCAGACGATACAGAAAAACGGTGCTGAATTAAAATGTTGTTTTTAAGCACGGAGTAATTGTACTGAATTTCAAATTTATGTGATAACTCTGAACCAATACAGCTCACTTTAATACATCAATAGATTCACAAGCATGTAAAAACAACACAATAGGATTATAACAGCCAATGTAAAACAATATGTTGACTTCCTCGGTCAAACGACAAATCTTTTTTCAAATGGTTCAGAAAGTGTAATTAGGAATTCTAAAAATAAAATAAATGATAAAGCATGACGTCGCTCAGATTGAATAGATTGGTCCTTTTGGATCGGAGACTTTGTCACCGATACCCGATGTAGAATCTTTTTTCACCATCAGGACCGATGCAGATATTAGTGCATCTCTGCAACAATTCATCATGGAGCGATGAATTGTGGGTAATACACTTTGCCAAAGTCTGTTGTAATGCAGGCTTAAGCCAAAGTGTGGGTTGAAGGGGAAGTGGCAAAAGAGAACTTGGACACAACGCACTCGGACCCTTCAGCAGGAACGAGCGTTTGAAGGACATAAGGGTGGAAGTGGGAGTATTGGGACCAGGCCAAAGTCTACCCATTATGACGACTTTCCTCCATCATTTGAAAACCAGCTCTTGGTGCCATGTGTCCACATGCAGTAAAGCAACCAGCCTCTCAACACACAGCAGTTACTCCCTCTCTGGTTAGTCTCAGCATTTATTGGAAACCTGAACTAACGACTTTGCCACACTCCGCAGCAACGCCTCACTGTTATTTTTTATTTATTTTTTTAAATATCACACTTGTTCCCAAACAGCAATTAAGGGAATATCCATTTTAAAAAGCACTAAATTGCTTCATTACTGCTTCCTCTAGAGATCACAGAGAGCACGGTTTGCATGAGTTCCCTTTAAAAACACACAGTTTGCCTGTGACTACCCCTCCACCCCCAAACACCACAGGCTAATCAGGGACCTCCATCCAGTCGCCCGCATATCCATCCACCGCTTCATGCATTCATCCAGGCAGGCCACCTGCCAGACTCTACCATGTGGGACGTTTGGTAATTGGAAGTGGGAGCTCCCATTATGGGGTGCAAGTGGAATGTTCCATTAATGAGGCCTGTTGTTTTCTCTGGAACAGCAAACAGACGGCCCGAGTCATGCCCCCCGACAGCACCTTTTCTGAGGCGGGCCAGCTCGTAAACCAAAAGTCAGGAATCAAGCAGTTTTTACACGTGCCTGGTTCTTATTAATTCAGACGGCCTGTTGTTCTCTGATTGGACCCTTTGAGGATAGTTTTGGAGCGGTGTGCGCACGTGGGTTTGGGAACTGTTTTTAGTGAAATATTTTTGCTTTTGCTGCAGATTTTAGCAGGTTCAGGATAATTTGGCAGTCATTGGTTTAAATGGAGGATAGAAGGACTGCTGTTGTTCAGCTTTCCTGCAGATATGAAATTACAGCAACAACTTCTTGTGGAACCAAGCACAACCATGGATAGTGTGCTAAAAGTCTCTTGAACCTTTTCACATTTTGTGACAGTATAATCATAAACTTTAATGTACTTTAAAGTTTATGGTACTCTTTTCCTAATTATGTAAAATAATTAGGAAAAGAAAAGTGAAGCAAGATATAAGCTATGATTTTTTTTTTTCACAAAAAAAATTATCGTTCTCCATATTATTGTGCTGCAAATGTCACATTTGTATTTTAACAATTGTGAAAAAATTTTAAAAAGCGGGTCTCGATCCTATGTTTTTTTGCTGAAATCAGATGTTTTTTGTGTGTGATCAGTCATGCTGCTAGTTAATTGGCTGCACTCAGACCTCTCTATGAACCGTCTACGACCCCAAAGCGACCCGTCTGCGCAGAAGACAGAACAGACATCACACAGTATTGCTCTGTTTAGAGAGGTAAAAATGGAATGGACATAATGTTGACGTCTTTGGATCGATTTTGAAGTTGTTGAGCAGTGGGAGCCGACAGTCTTTCCCACAAGGTCATAACAAGACAAAGGAAGATAAGAAGAGGAATCCTAATTTATCACATCTGATTTCTTCTGGTGCAGAAGTCACTACAATGATGAAAAAGTCTGAAAAATGTGACATGACACTTTGGGAACTGAATTGGATGTGTAAACACATCCAACTTAGAACCACATATGAAAGTAGCACAAATCAGACTTTTTTGGGGGACGACAGGATCTGAATTAGGCTGTTTAGACAATCATGGAAAAGTTGGATAAGGATTGCATATGCCTGAAATGTGACTGGAGCCTTACTGTCTGTTAGCAGCATTATGATGTGCGGTTAAAAAATGAACCGTTTTTATTTGTAAGCAATTTTGAAAAAACACTTTTTGGTCTTTCATGTAAAATCCCAGTGAAACACATCGACATTTCTGCTTGTGATGTGACAAAAAGTGAAAAAGTTCAAGAGGCATGAACACTTTCCTCCAAGGCAGTGTGCCTACTTTAGCGGTAAATGTTTTACTTGAGGAGTTTTTCATCATGTTTTGCAATCAGAAGTGCCCCCATGCAATTCACCCGGCTGCACAAGGAGGGCCTTGATCCTCCCTCGCCAGCCGCGTAACATCCAGACTGTATTGCTGTTTCCTGTTTTAGACGTCCATGTATCTGCAGATGGCCCTGGCCAGGGGAAGGGCCAGCCGCGCGGCCGACCCCAGCGCGGTGCACGACACACTTGGACTGAAGGTGCGATGCGGGCCCCTGTTTGCGCCGTGGCCCCAGCGGACTGCCGGGGCTCGCGGTCACCAGCAGCATGCCCTCCATTCTTTGTGTCTGAGCACATCCTGTCAATGCCATTTTAAATCTAAAAGCCATCGTCCGTTTATCTTTGCAACATTTAGCATGCGCCTTTTTTTTTTTTTAAGTTTGTGCACCATACTCAAAATTGGATTTCATGTTTCATTCGTACTTTCTTTGTGCCCTCCTAAATGTCGCAGCACACCGTCTTACTCGTCATCGTCCTTTGTTCGTTTTCGCTTTCTGTATCTGTGTTAAATGCCACGTTTTGCATGAGAGCGGGGTTATCATGTGAAATGGGGCTGATCAGGCTGCTAAAAACACAAGGCACAATTTGATTTGAACAGGCTTTTTGTTCCCTTTCAGCGCATGGCATTTAGTTTCATTTACCGCATATTAAGCCTCATATCAGGAACGGTGGATATTCTAATCACTCACGTCGCTTGTTTGAGTGAATCCAGCTCGCCCCACCCGAGCAGCGCTGCGCCCCACAGAGGCCGAGTTAGCATCTGACCCACTCCCACAGCAGGGCTTGTTAGCCCAGAGCAAACACCAGCCATCTGTATCCAACTGGCTGCGCTGTGAGGGAAGGAAAACAGTGACATACTTGAACATGTCTTCACTCGAAAGACTTTTGAACAGACTTAATGTGAAATAGTTCACTTCAAAATTAGTTCAGTTCCTTTTAAAACGTATTCATGGCCCATTGGATTTGATTTTCATGTATTGTGTTAGGATGTCTATGGTAGACCAACACAAAGTAATCGAGTATCTTTTCAAACATATTTAGAATTCAAATACCAAACACCAAATTAAAATCTGAAAAGTGTGGCTTGTATTCAAAGTCAAAACTGTCCAGGTTTTTGTCAGCTTTCCACAAGAGGACACCAGATTTTTATGCTCGTTCTTTCCAAAACAGTTCAAGTTTAGTTAAACTGCATAGAAAGCATTTGTGAACCAAAATGCTCAAATCCTGCCAAGGATTCTCTGTCCAATATAGGTATGGACTTTGACTAGGCCATTGTAACAGATCAAATTGGTCGATTTGGCTCTGAACCATTCCTTTGTACCTCTGACTGTGGTAAACATCTTTTTGGGGTTTCTTTCTCACTGCATCTCCATGAAGGCAGGATTTGTGGAGTTGGCGACCAGTAGTTGTCATAGCAACAAACTGCGTCTCCTCCAAAGTCGTCCAATGGTGGCTTCATTGCCCAGGCTGCATCTTTAGGTGGTTGACTTTGTTTGGTTATGTTTGCAGTTGAAGCACTCTACCTTTGCTTCTTTTAACCTTGATTTGCTTAACAGAAACACAGCAGTTTCAAAAAGTTCACATTTATTAATGATGGGTTTTTTTCAGCTCTATCAGATTAATGAAAACTGCAGTGGAAACACTTTTTTTTGCATCACGATTCATGTGAGCAACAACCAGATGATACTACTGGGGGAAATGGTGAGGAAGGCGACAGGAAGTGGTGCGAGGATGATGTCATGGCGTATTTTTTAATGAAATCTCACATGAACAAACTTATTCATGCCAGATTTTGTTTGAATTTCTTATTTAATTGTAAAATTGTTCTTTCAACATTAGCAGAATTTTGGCAAAGTTTTGTGCACATTTGCGATGGAAACACAAATTGTATTCTCTTTATGCCAATTTTTGATAAAAGCAACTGTTTCATTTCCTTATAAACAACAAGATAGGAAACAAGGACCCTTTGCTATCAATGCAAATGGTCCTGAATCCAAATATCTGCCACAGATTCCCTCCAAACATTTAAAACCATTAAAACCATCCACACTTTCCACTTTAAGATTATGTGCCAAGTTGTGTTGGTCTGTCATGAAATCCTAATAAAATACCATAAAGTTGGTTTGTAATGTAACAAAAAAAAACATTTTTAAGAGGATTGAATACTTTTGTAATGTAACAGAACTAAGTGAAGATTTTGCTTGTAGAGGGTCGAGGTCCAGGGCGGACTCGTTCAGTGAGGCTTGGAACCCGTAGATAGCTGCCTTCAGCCCAAGTTTGATTTTTGTTTTTGGACTTTTCAGCTTTTCTGCAGGATAATTATGTCAACTTCATATATGAACCCATATAGAAACATTTTTTCTTCAGGTGTACATAATTATATGCAACTTCTTTTTTTTTTCTGCACTTCACTTTATGGCATGGTTTTGAATCAACGAGCCTGCACCTTCTTTCTCTTTCTCTCGCTCTCTTTTTTTTTGTCTTTGTTTCAAAGATGAATAGGTAATTGCAAGTGAAGTCTGTCTGGCGCAGAGCCAAAGTCTCTGTCCCTGACGGGAGTGGAAAAAAAAAAAAAAGACGATGCGCTTTGGTCTGCAAGGCTCGGCCACAGGACATGTCATCACATGCCACTGCTTTCATTTTACCCTACTCATACGCAAATTTTTGCCAATCACCCACACGCGCTTGTGTGCTGGGAAGCCACAAGCGTTGAGCATCAGTCATCCTGGCCTCCATGCGTGGCTTGTTTTTTTTGTGTTTTTTTTCCTCCCTCCTCTGGTGGATCGCAGGTGTCAGCAGCCCGCGCTCTCACCCATGCGTGCGCGCCGAGAAGAAGCCGAGAGGTTTTCAGCTTATCGTGTAGCGAAGCGCGGCCCACGACGCGTTTCTGAAGTTAGACCCGGCACGGGGACGTTGATTATAAATTCCTCGCTTTCACTGCATGCATTTTTCTGTGTGAACTTACACTCATTATTCTAACACTTCATCCCCCCCACCGGGCCCCGTGGGTCCCACAGGTGTCAGAGGCAGCGCTCACGTTCCCTCCCTCATCCTTCCCTCTCCAGGGAATCAGTGGCAAGACGAAGAGTGCTGAATTTATTGCCATCTCTGTGTGATTTTTATTTTATTTTTTTAACCTTTTTTTTCTGTTTCAGGAAGAAATTTTCCACTTGGAGCCGGGAAAAGTGGAATCTGGGAAGGGGAAGTGCTCCTACGACCCGAAGCTCAACAGCGTGTCAGCTTTGATTAGTGAGTGTTGGTGGATTATGCGGGTTCGGTTGTGTGAGGACTCGCTTGATGTCCTTTCAAAAATGACCTGTGGGATAATTTTGGTTTCATCCATGGTTTATGTGACATTCCTCTGTCATATATTATTATTATTTCAGTATAGAAATGACAGTGTTCAAGTCTTCTTTACGTCGTTTAGTGTACTGTGTGGTGGCGTTCATTTTTAAGCTTTAGATCTGTCCAGACATTGAAGAAAAGGACCAGAAACACAGCAAGAAGTTAAAAATGCGGTTCAGTGTGGATGCAATAATTGATCACGATGCAGCGCCATAAGAAGCCGCAGACTTCCTTTGTCCTTTGGTACAAGGTCTCTGAACCAGTTGCCGCCAGTGGAAGGGGGATCTTCTTTCTGCGGGGTGTAAATCACTGGCACCCCTTTCCCACATTAGCGCAGTACCAGCTGACCAGCGCGGTACCGGGACCGTCGTCTAAGATGGATTAACCTCCCAGTGCCATCAGTTAGCTCCATACAAGGGACACCGTTGTTAGTGTTGATAAGGATTAAGAACCCTGCGACACAACAGAAGATTTACCATTGACCACCAACTGCTCAGCTCAGCGCTACATTAGACACGCAATCATCTGTGGACGTTTTAATGATACATCATCAATCTCCCCACAGCGTCGCTTGGGACCATGACATTGTGTATAACGGGGGTAGAAAAGTATCTGGTTTCTCCTGCTGTTTGCGTACGCAGAGCCGTACACCTGCCTCTTCACAGCGGCGCCGTCAGAACAGATGGAAGAACCAACACATTCAGCTGAGCAGGCTCAACAAACTTCCAGCTTGGATGTTTCAATCAGCTACGTTTCTGTCAAAGTTTTTTTTGCCAAAGTTCATTGCAAAAGTACAAAGGTTTTATGTTTTTTACATTTCTATACCGGCCACTTTCAGAAGATTTCATTTTAAGTTGCATAGTGCAGCTTTGATGAAAAGGATGGACGTTCCTGAACACAGACTCTGATTCATGGCCAGATATTTTGCTGCACAGTATAGACATTTGCTTTTTATCAGAGTGTTAACCTGAACTGGGCTGATCTGTTTTCTCTCCTTGTCAGATGGAGAGCTGTACGCCGGCGTCTACGTCGACTTCATGGGAACCGACTCGGCCGTTTTTCGTACTTTGGGGACCAAAACTGCAATGCGAACAGACCAGTACAACTCCAGATGGTTGAATGGTAACGATCCTCTTTCATCACGTTTTCCTCCATGACTTCTTAATATACAACACAAGCAGGATTACAAATGTGCGGTATGGTTAAAGTCCACTGTGGCGGTTCCGTGTGCTTCGAATCCACCAGTAGCGAGATTTTAAACAGATGTGTTCCTCCCTTTTTTCTTTTTCTTTCATGACGTAGATCCCACCTTCATTCACGTGCACCTCATCCCGGACAGCGCAGAGAGGAACGACGACAAGCTGTATTTCTTCTTCAGGGAGAAATCCTCCGACATGGGTCAGAGTCCCGTGACCCAGTCCCGCATTGGACGCATCTGCCTGGTGTGTACGCACGCACACACACACACACACACACACACACACACACACACACACACACACACACCACACACACACACACACACACACACACACACACACTATATGGAGTGGTTTCAGTTAGCTTAATGAAAAGAAAACCTGGAGCGTTTAAACGAAGAGCCTGCGCTCTCCTGAGGCGAGTCGCCCGCTGTGTTTGAACAGCTACAGGGTTTGGCTAACGCTAACACGCTGGAATCCACATGTGTTTTTAACCTTCCTGTCTACAATGCATCCTTCTGTTTGTGAGACTGCTCTCTGACCTATGACCTCATGGTCTCCCTGGCCTCTTCTCCCTGGTAGATCTGATATTTCTAGGTGATTTTTGTCTGGAGGGGAAAAACCGCCAGAAGACTGCTTTATTTCAATTCAATTGAACGTCCTGCGCTGGAAACTGAAAGCAAAGGCAGAAAAATAAATCACAACAAAAAGCTGGTCGAGCGTCATAGCAGAAAAACAAAATCTTACCAAGTATTTTTGGTCCAGTTTCTAGTGCAAATGTCTTTGTACATTTGAAATAAGAAACTTTTCAGCAAGAAATAAGAGCTTGTCTAGTAAGTAATACCTAGTTCTGCTGGCAAGTTATTTAACTTATAACAAGATATTTTTTTTCATGTTTCAAGTGAAGTAATCTTTTTTTATTAGTATTAAGCATTCGCTGACTTAAAACAGGCTCCTATATTTTCCCTAAAAGTTACTTATAAGTTAGTTTTGTCTTATTTCAAGTGTACTTGGATATTTGCGCTAAAAATTCTGGGTAAGATTTGGTGTTTTTGGAGGGATCTTGGTGAACTGATTGTTTGTGTTTGTACATCTTATCTTAAGTGTGTGTGTGTGTGTGTGTGTGTGTGTGTGTGTGTGTGTGTGTGTGTGTGTGTGTGTGTGTGTGTGTGTGTGTGTGTGTGTGTGTGTGTGTGTTTCCACCTCCATGAGGTTTATATTGTTGCGTGATCATAATGGCGGTGATATGTACTTGCTTGCTTGTCGTCTCAGCTGTTCTCTGTTGTATTTGTTTAAAAGTGAGGGTGTGGGGATCGGGCAGTGACCCAACACACAAACTCTCTCCCCTCTCTCCCTGCGGACACTACGTCGGCGCCCTCCAGAGGCACGGCCATGTCACTGCTCCTTCACGTCGCGTCTGGATGCTCTTGCCGCTGTTCTTTACACTGATCTTAATCGGGAGCGTAAACGCAATGAATATTGTTGAAACACTTTCACTTCTGACACCGTAGATGGTTGGAAAAAGAATGTGAACCAACAGATGTAGCTGAACTCGTCACCACTTACCCATTCTGTCTTCACTCAGTAACAGCTGGAGGAGAGAATTGTTTTTTGACCCAGTCATCGACCCCTTTCTACCTTCCAGACCTTAGAACTAGCCCTGTGTGTGTGTGTGTGTGTGTGTGTGTGTGTGTGTGTGTGTGTCTGTGTGTGTACGTGTGTGTGTGTGTGTGTGTGTGTGTGTGTGTGTGTACGTGCGTGTGTGTGTGTGTGTGTGTGTGTATTTGTTTGTGTGTGTGTGTGTGTATTTCTTTGTGTGTGTGTATTTGTGTGTGTGTGTGTGTGTATTTCTTTGTGTGTGTTTTCTTTGTGTGTGTGTATTTCTTTGTGTGTGTGTATTTGTTTGTGTGTGAGCTCCTGCATGCTGGTTTTTCTATGTGAAGAACAGTCAGAGGGATGTAGCTGATGGAGAAACTGTGTTTTGTTCTCACCTGCTCCCTCAATGTCCCCTAACAGAACGACGATGGAGGTCACTGCTGTCTGGTCAACAAGTGGAGCACCTTCCTGAAGGCCAGGCTCATCTGCTCGGTGCCCGGCACCGACGGCATGGAAACACACTTTGACGAGCTCCGTGAGTGTATACGCATTTCCATCTGCAAAGTGACATCCTTAATATTTTAGATGTGATCACACATTAAAGAACAAAAAAAAATACATGTATTTTTTTTCCATTTTGAAAAGAAGCAAAGAGGGGCTGCATCACCTCTCATAAATGCAAACACACATACTGTACATCCCCATGTGAAGCTCAAGTCATTGATACTATGAGTGTGAGCAGCACAAAGAACCCTACTACTGTAGGTCTTTGAAATGTTTGTTGGAATATACATTCCTGAGTGTTTGCAAGAAAGTAGGTTGATGTTCAGATCAATGATCTGGAACTTCAGTCCGTTCTCCTGAGGCGTGGCTTCAACCTGTTTCTCCCCAATCGGCCGTTGCCAGATTTGTCTCCATTTGCAGATCCTGTGTTGTTCCTCTGCATTTTATGGAACCTCTATAAGAGAATTACAAGCATGGCAGACTGCATTCGCTGATTGGACTGTGGACTAACAGCACTGGATAAGCGAAGGCGCTACATAGAGCATCAACTGGAAGGGGCAACCCGCAATAGAAAAATATACCGAGAGATATTGGCGGAAATTGGCTGGCCAAGCGCAGACGGGCGAAATTACACGATCAGATTGTTGACGCCTACTCCTGTGTCTCCACGTTTCTACATCCTTGCCCATATTTACGTCCACATAGCGAGGAAGAAACTGCCGATGGTGATTAACCCGCAAGGGTGAAACTTGATTATGGAGAATCATTTATAGACTATGTATGATTGACTATGGACCATAGTCAGTCATACTTTGACTATGATTGTCAGGCTGTGGAGGTAACCCTGGAAAACCCTTCTTCTTCATCTGTCTGCAATGGTTTCTAGAATCAACAAGTTAACCTAGGAATAATAGGTGAGGCTACAGTACCTCTAACTAATCTAAAAGAATAAAAAGCACCTTTCCAGGACTGTTTCTGTATTAGCAACTTGTTGGCACTCTGGTTCTACGCCTGTTTAGACTCGTAAAAACACCATCGTGGTTTTATAGGTAGGGCCTTTGGTAGGCCATAAACTTCATAAACTGTAAAATGTTCATATGTGGAGTCAGTTGACATAAATGACCAAGTGTGGAAAAGGTTCTGGCTCTTCCTTTTCCAAACGTGGTTTCTGCCTCTACTGGTTAGTTCAGTGTTGACTCAGACCCAGCAGTGCAGAGTGATTCTGTGAGATGGATGGTGGTCACTATGGGGCACCCATGATTAATTGTAGGATATTGTAGTTAAAGGCCATAAATGTGGAGCAAAGCGTTGAAGGAACAAGGACAGACATGCCGGGGTACTGAGTGGGAGAGGGCGCACGTGTCAGATTTCAGAGCCGCTGTTCCTGCCAACTCAAAGAAGGAAAGGTAGAGAGGAAATGATGGAGTTTTGTATTTACTGTCTGGCTTGATTGTGGTTTTTCTTATGCTGGTTCTGGAAATTTGTGGTTATGGAGGAAAAATTTGTCTCACATGATGCACAAAGACAAATAGGCCATTTATAGTTTGTAGCAAAAGTATTTGCATAACTTTTACACGTTGTATCACGTTACATCCACAACCTTGAATGTATTCACCTTTGAGTTTTGGTGCTGGACTAACACAAGATGGTGCATAAATACAGACGGGGATGGAAGTCTGGACCAAAACACAACTGAAGACCTTTTGCAAGACTTGAATATTAAAGCTGAATGAACCTGAAATATTTAGGAAAGAAAAATATTTATTTAGTTGTCTATCAGGTTTTTTAAGTGATATTGTCACTTTGTCATTATTGCAGTAAATACCACAAAGTACATGAAATAATTTGCAGTCTATCTCTCCCCTCCCTCATCTAGATATGTGGCTTAGAGATCTGAAGCCACATCTGCCAAAGATATCTTCTTTGTTTTCTAAATCCTAAAAAAAAAAAAACAAAAAAAAAATATGGATGTTGGCTGAAATGTTCAGAGATATGAATATTTTTGCAGGGAATACCACATTTCTGAGATCTCAGTGAAGAGACCTCACAGATGTGCAGCAGTTGCTGCTGTATGAGTCAGATTTGGGATGAATCACAAGCTTCCACCAAATCTATAAAAGTCATTGTAAAATCGTAGTCTTGTTGCCAAAGGAAAGCCAGCAACCTGGAATTCTCCTTTATTCTTATTTCTCATTTGAAATGAATCTTTTTAGAAAAAACATGTTATTTAGTGACATCTGAGATGTTTTGTTTCAGGCATATGCTGAGAAACAAATTGGTCAAACAGAAAAGAAGTGGACCTGAGTAATCAAAACCCAAAGGCTGATCAACTTTTAAAGGGGCGGTTGCATATGGTGCAGAGTGGCATTTTATAGCACAGTCACATAGCTATCTTAACTTCAGTTGCTATAAAAACTCTATATACATATCAAACATGTCTTCAAGGAAGTTTGGCTTTGTAATTTAACACCTTGAAATTGTCCCTCTGTCTCTTTAAGAAGCTCCACCTACAGGAAGTCATCACAACATGGCTCCTCTATTAACCCTTTAACAACGTCTTTATCAGCGTTCGACTAAGAAGTAGCTACTATAATGAGCTCAGCAGATGTGCAGTTCCACGAGGTGTTTGCTAATTGTTGCTGGCTAGTTTGAAGGAGCTGATTGGGGGCATCACGTTTTGCAGAGCTGAATGTTTGCCATGGGAGATTGATAAATCTCTCAGATGTGCATGAATCAAGACAACACTCCAGATATCGAGTAACATGACGTAACGCTCAAAAAGGTCGACTTTACAAAACTCAAGTGAAGTTCTAATGCTTCAGAAATATAGAAAAGCGACAAATGAAATGGGAATCGTGTTAAAGCTGTTAATATGCACGCTCCAGAGCGAACACATCACATACGCATCAGAAGAGCTTTTCAGTTTCCTCCCTTTGAAGCCGTGATCTGTTTCTCTTCTCAGACGTATCTCTCTTTCAAGTGTGCGCTTGTGTTTCCTTCCATGCAGATCCACGATTTTTGGGACAGCTGTGTGTCATGACGAGGATCAAGTGTTGCATGACACCCGTTGCGTGGCAGCTCGTTGGTCTGCGGCCATCTTAACCCATGACCGTTCCGCTGCTGTGTTTGTTTTTGGGGTGGGGGGTTTCGAGGCAGCTGGGGGAGAGATCGGATGGGTGGGAAGATGTTTCTGAGCGGCGTGGTTTTTCTCCAGAGAGGAGCTGCAGACGGTCCCTGGAGGACCTCAGTGCTGGACCAGAACCCAGCAGTCGACAGTCAAAGACAATCCTCACACCAGCCGTGTATCACAGTATCCACACAGGAAGCTGACAGCTAATTCCTCATGCTGCTCTCCAAGAGACAGCGAGCGCATAAATCTGGATTGGAATACGTATTCTTTTCCAGCGTGTGATCGGTTCCTTACTTTCAGAGCGCTAACACTGTATTTTTAGCCTGACTTCTTTTTTTTTTTTTTTATCCAAATAGGGCTTTTTTTTCCAACTAGGTTATAGCAGCTCGTGTTGACGGCCTTTGTCCTGTCGCAGGCAGCGAACACGGCTGTCTCCTGGGAGCAGTATTTAGGTCAGGTTCTGAAACAGCAGGAAGACTTATCACCTGTACTTGGCATCAAACAAAGGATGAGCTAAATCAGGCAGTGCCGGCGTCAGAGCTCTGCGGGACAACTAGTGGGAATGTTTGGGATTCAGAGACCTAAAGACCAGGCTTCAGTCGTTATGATGCTGCTGACCAATGAGATGAGAGATTCAGAACCTCCTAAAAAAAATGTTATACCCTTTGAAATGCTTTTGATTTTGTGTCATTACAGCCACAACTTTTAAGTCGAGTTCATTTGTTGAGCACATTTTATTAACAAAGCACTTCAAAGTGTTTTTACAATACAAAATCATCAAATAATCACCAATCACGAAATAAGCAATAAACATGACATTTTGTCCAAATTATCAAGGAAATGCACATCAAATTTATTGATTAAAACTCCAGTTATTATGAATCAAAGACAAATGATTTCAATGGCTAAAGTCTTTAGTGGTTTTAAACCTAAAATGTGTTGCATGCATATGTCTCAGCTTCTCTGGCAACTCTAGAGACTGAAAAGTTTTTTTTTTTTTTTTTATCATTCTTTATTTGCGAAATACCTCAACCTCCGTTGGTTTGGATGAAAAACATATTTGGAGAGCTGGTGTTTTTTGTTCTGTTTTTTTTTTTTTTCAAATATGCAACAGATTCTCAATTGGTTATAGGTCCGGACTTTGACTAGGTCATTCTGCACAAGTTAAAATTGTTCAATCTCAAGACAACTACCTTTCATAGTTGGAGGTTGATTTAACTTTGTGCTGCAGGAAGGCAAATCTTTTATTCTGGTTTCAAGTTGCAGCTCATAAGATTTTTTTTTTTTTCAGTTTTTTCCTGTATTTACACTGCAAAAACAGAATTCTCACCAAGTAGTTGTGGTTTCTGTAAATATCTTGGTACTCTTGAAATGAGAAACTTTTCTGCCTAGATGTGGAGCTTGTGAAGGTCAATAATTTCTTAATATTTATAATAAAAAGTATTACATTTTATACACTAGTTTTTTGACAGAATGCTCCTCGGACAGAAGATTGGAAAATCAGAGGAGATTTTCCAATTTTCTCTGATTATCCAAATCGAAACATGGATCTGTGAATATTCTTCCAGCTGAAAAAACAAAGGAACTGCCGTAAGGCTGGAAATGCGTCTTTAGGTAAAGCAAAATCTTTATCTTGATCAATGCATTAATGCTGCTGTTCTTCCTTACAGGAGACGTTTACATCCAGCCAACACAGGACACAAAGAACCCCGTCATCTACGGCGTCTTCACCGTCTCCGGGTTTGTTCCCTTCACTGAAAACGAAACCTGCTGTGTTTCCATCGCCGCCACCTGTGAGGCGAATTTACCCGCTCTCACGTTTTCACCACAGGTCCGTGTTCAAAGGCTCTGCCGTTTGCGTTTACTCCATGGCCGACATCCGCATGGTCTTCAATGGGCCCTTCGCCCACAAAGAGGGTCCCAATTACCAGTGGGTGGCGTACACGGGGAAGATCCCGTACCCTCGCCCTGGCACTGTAAGCCCCTCCTCTTACCTTAAAGCAGATGAGCAACATCCAGGCATCAGCATATCCAACTAAAGTTGTAGCTGCTGGGCTTCATTTTGAGCAGTTCTTGTGGAGGGAGACCTTTAAAAAATAAACAAATCAATAAAAAATAAAAAATGTTGCGCTCCTGCTCAGGTTGTTGTTATTTTTCTCCCTCAGTGCCCTGGAGGAACATTTACGCCCAGCATGAAGTCCACAAAGGACTACCCAGATGAAGTGATCAACTTCATGAGGAATCACCCTGCTATGCACAACGCAGTCTACCCAGTGCACAAGCGCCCCCTGGTGGTCCGAACCAACGTGGACTATGAGTTCACCACCATCTCAGTGGACCAGGTGACGGCTGCAGACGGCAACTATGAAGTGCTCTTCTTAGGAACTGGTGAGGGTTTTTTTTAACGTAAGATGTGATTTGATTGGCTCAGTCCAAGACTAAATTACACAATGACAGAAAAACTTTCTCCATGTTCACCATTTATTGTTTAATTCATTTACTTACATATTATTACCTTTAATAGCGTGCATCCCATTATGTAGTTGTACCTGTTACTTACCAAAAACAAAACTATTTAACAACAGGAATGAAAGTCAGTCCAAATGAACCGACAAAAAATGTCAGATTTATTGAGACGTTTTTTACTTCTGATTGTCTGTGTCACATTTGGGCAAAAAGCAGTTTTTGTGAGTAAAAGGTGAAAAGCCGAAGGTCGGTCCATGCTACATAAATGTAAATGTGAATTGAGGGAATATTTGCCTGAAATGATGGACAGAACCAGCGTTCCTCACGTTTAGTTTCTAGCCATGAACCCTTTGACCCGAGTCGACACCCCATGTGACACTGAGAACAGGACCCCCCCTCTGTGGAAATAAACCCTATGTAAATGAGGGGCTCTTGTCTGCAGAGCAATCTGTTATCTTTCAGACAAAAGCATTCTTTCCTTTTTGTGCTTGAGTGGAAATGTAACCAATCAAAGGGTTTCTCTCACCTCTCTCTGCTCACATGGAGTGAACAACAAGAAGACTTGTACCTGGAGGGCAGAGCAGGATGAGCAGCGGGAGGGAGAAGAACAGTGTGGGAGGCGGGAGGGTCAGAGTTAGCGTACCCATCACCCTGATCTGCCCTGCTGCTGGGAGGCTGATCATCAGTTCACCTGCGTAGGCTGAGCGTCTGATGAGGCCGCGGCTTCCACCACGTGCTGCATGTGGCGCCTTCTGACTTTTTTGTGCTTCTGAGCGTCACCGGTACGCAGAACGATGCGTGTCGGGGTTCAGACGACGTCATAAATCTCAGGTACCAAGAAAGCAAATGGAGCAGAGAAAGCCGCCCAAACAGCAAAAAGAGAACTTTACGTCATTGGAGAAAATGATAGGTAAACCCGGTGAGAGTTATGTCTACAGCAAGTTGATGGAGGGATTATTCTCACTGATAACTGCTGACAGTCAAACACGCTGCAGAGAGACGGGCGATGGGGCGGCAGCCGCGTGGCTGATGGGTGTGTCTTGTGCTCCGCAGACAAGGGAACAGTTCAGAAAGTCATCGTTCTGCCCAGGGACGACCTGCAGACCGAGGAGCTGGTTCTGGAGGAGGTCGAAGTCTTTAAGGTGAACCCTTAAAGACACCGCATCACACCTTCACTGGTTGCTTGTTCTCAAAGAGAAAAGCTAACAGAGTTTCTTTGCTTCCCTGTCCAGGTTCCCACTCCTATAACGACGATGAAGATCTCATCCAAAAGGGTAAGTGAGCGCACACACAGACTTGCGTCTGGTTTTCTAAACTGAGCTAGAAATAATGACTGACAAAGATACAGAGTTGGGGTCAAGCGTAACCTGCCGGGTGGATGTGCTGCAAACCCCTGATCATAAAACAAATTATGCCTGCAATAATCTTCAAAATAATTTACCCCTTCTTCTACGCTCTGGGTGGTTCTAACTCTTAATGCCGTCCTTTTTTGCGTCCACAGCAACAACTGTACGTGTCCTCTGCGGTCGGCCTGACCCAGTTGGCTCTCCACCGGTGTGACGTGTACGGGGAGGCGTGCGCTGACTGCTGCCTGGCCAGAGACCCGTACTGCGCCTGGGACGGCAAGTCCTGCTCCCGGTACTCGGCCTCACAGAAGAGGTGAGCAGCAGCCGCATGGTCAGCGAGTTCACTAACCCAATAATTCGATCAGTTGGTTCAGCGATACTGAAATCGTCCTGCCTGTATGGCCGACTGGCTGTTTTGGTGATTTTGTTAAGATCTGTGGGTACACTCAGCTTAACAAGACTAATATCTTCTATATATATATATATGTATATATATATATATATATATATATATATATATATATATATATACATATGTATAAGAAAAAAGTCATATGTCAAAAGGTGGAGATTTGTTATCTGTTTGTATTTTCCTCTTCATTTGGTTTTGTGTTACTGAACGGCTTTGAATGGCTTGCAGTTGCTTTATGATGTTTTTCTCTCCTTATTTGGCAATACTGGTCTGACCCATTTAGACGTAGCCGGAGGCAGGACGTCCGCTACGGGAATCCCATCCGACAGTGCAGAGGCTTCAACTCCAACGGTAAGCAGGCGTCTGTTTGGTCACAACGCCATCGTCTCCCTGTCGAGATGTAGCGACTGGACCACGGCAGGTCAATGGCTACCAGAGAAAAGCAAAAGAAACCATCCATTAGAAAAGTCGTAAACGTGAGTTTGCCGTCTCCACTCTGCAGCCAATAAGAACACTCTGGAAATGGTGCAGTACGGGGTGGAGGGAAGCAGCACCTTCCTGGAGTGCCAGGCCCGATCTCCGCATGCCGTCATTAAATGGCACCTGCAGAGAGACAACAGTGACCGCAGGAAAGAGGTTGGTCTCTCTCACACACACACGCACGTGTGTGTATCGTTTGCCAGACCTAACTTCTTTTTTATTTTTGCAATAAACAATAATATTGTTGTTTTCAGAACATTTAAGTATTATAATGGTATTAATGCAAGTACGTCTCAAAGACTCACAAACTTTCGTTTTTGTAAATATTCAACACTGGAACTGCAAGACAGTTTAAATATCCAAAGTAAAAAAAGAAAACGACTCAAACAAAAGAAAATGGATCCTGAAGTCTCTGTGATCAAAACTGTTCTTCATTGAAGGAGGGAGTTTAGACCCAGACTGAAGACTTTTATTATCTAGAGAGACAGACACGAGGAAAACAGTCATGCAAATGGAAATGAAGCTCGTTTGAATTTATCACGTGATAAATTGATTTATCTCTTATTGTGACATGCTCAGTGTAAGACACAAAAACCTGTTAGAGGCTCAGAAAGACTGAAGATTGTGGTGAATTTCAGTCTCTAGGGCCACAAAGCACAAAAATGTCATTTTGAAGCATTTCCTCTTATTGAAAGTCTTTGCCACATTTTGATTTAAACAGCAATAAAATACATTGAAGTTTACACGAAGCATGCTGTAAATTTCCCATTGAACTCATGCGGTTCTACTGCCCTGTTACCTTTTTATTTTTGAACGCGTAACCCAAATTCCTCCGTATGTGGAAGACGAATAAATGAGCACTTCCTCCAGGCGTTCGCACCCCACTTACATTTACAGATTTATTCACTGTGAGACAGGACAGACTGTGAAGGTTAGCTGTGAAAAGGCTTTAATACCAACCCTGAGGCTGTGAACAAATGCTTATCTTTTATTGACTCTCCTGTTGGACGCAGTCGCCTCACACAGGATGAGTCAACGCGACGTTTGTTGCACAAAACAAAACGCACTAATTAGATTTCTGGGTGGAGGTGGAAAAACAGTTGCAAGCTGAGTGAACATAAGAGATTACATCGGTATAACTGTTTTTTTCCTCTTGAATCTTTGACGTGATGGAAGAAAAAATTCACATTGCAAGGCGACAGTCAGAGGTCAGCTATGGGTCAGCAGAACCTTTAAATGAAGCTGTTGTTTCAGCGCACTGCAGGAACAGTGATTGTAATTAATCTGGGTTGTGTATGCTGGGTATTGTTGGTGCTAGTTGAATCTTTCCACATTTTTTGTTAATACTTTGAAAATCCCGCTCGCTTTTTTTCTCACCAATCGTTCCGACGCTCGTCGTTTGACCTCTCGCTGTCCTCCTCCCTGCGTAGATGCGCTCCGACGGGCGGATTCTGAAGACCGAACAGGGCCTGCTGCTGCGCTCCCTGCAGCCGTCGGACTCCGGCATGTACCAGTGTACCGCCACCGAGAAGAACTTCAAGCACACGCTGGTCAAGCTGCAGCTGGTCGTGCTGTCGGGCCGCGCCGTCAACAACGCGCTGGTGGACGGCGGCGGTGGGCTGGTGCCGTCGTCCCTTCACTCGGCCGGCGCCCAGTGGACCCCCAGCGCGGGCCAGTACAAGGACCTGCTGACCATTCTGAGCCAGCCCGAGATGAGCCTGATCAACCAGTACTGCCAGGACTACTGGCAGTTCGGAGACCCGCTGCTGGGAGCGCTCAAGGCGAAAGACCTGAAGGAGCTCAAGGAGCAGAAGAAACCCCGCAACCGTCGGCATCACAGGGAGCGACATGAGGTGGAGGAGGAGGAAGAGGAGGAGCAGCAGGGAGTAGAGACATGAGGAAGCTGACCTTTGTGTTTGAAACACAACCTCCCCCCCCACCCGACCCTCCTCCACCCCCGAGAAAACTGGGAAAGACTCGATGAGATGAGAGTAGCAGCTTCAAAGAAAAAGATGAAAAAAAATCTGCAAACTGAATGAAAACGGCTTCCAAACGAAACCCCACACACACACACACACACACACACACACACACACACACACAAACACACACACACACACACACACCTCCCTCAAGCAGTAACATATATGATACACAGTATTTATTGTAGGTTGTAAATAGTACCATTCTGTGGATTTCTTTGTACTTAAAGTAAAAAAAAAAAAAGAAAGAAAAGAAGACAAGCTCTTTGTGTATAGGTACCACTTTGGGGCGGGAGGGCGGGGAGAATATTGTTGTTGTCGTTGATTTCGATGTTGCTGTTACTGTCGGTAGGAAAATCCCCATTTGTCAGCATCGTGTGAACTTTGACACCCTGCAAGGAACGCGTTGTTGGAGCGCGAGCTGTTTGGACTCAGAGCGGACTGCGACGAGGAGCTGCTGAGAACAAGGTGACGGGAGAATTTATATTTTTTTTTTACTATTATTATTATTATTGTTATTTGTGGATACTCCAGAAGAGCCTGTGTTGCAGCCTCCCTGTGGCTACATGCAGAGAGAGAGACTTCATGTTGGAAGAGGGACCACTGGACCTTGGTCCCAGTTATCTGCGGGGGGTCAGAGGTCGGGGAGGGGACACACTGCTGTTCTCAGTGGGAATCTTTGTGTTTCTTTTCTGTCATGTCTGTGTAGATCAGAGGGACTGATTGTAAAAACGATGTGGACCGTCGCTGCGTCCCGCGCCAGCTACTAAATCGGGATCCAAGAGATTTATTTAAAAACAAAAATAAGTAAATAAATGAATAAAATGTTTACTTTCAAAAAGTATGAGACTTCCTTCCACTGTGCGGTGCCTGGCTCAAGTGTTCACACAGGCCTGGATTATTTTACATTCATGTTACAACTAAAGGCTTCAACGTATTTTATTGGGATTCAGTGTGATGGGCCAACATAAAGCAGTGCATAATTATAGAGTGGATGAAAAAGATTTTTATACCATTTTATGAATATAAAAGTGCGGAGTCCCTTTATGTCTATCCTGTTGCATAAAACTGACTTTTGTTTTTTCAGTGTTACTAAATAATCAGCCAATGGAACCAGAATTATTTCCTTACAACAAGCTCCTATAACTTGTTGAAAATTGACCTGTGAATTAGTTTTGTCTTATTTCAAATGCGCTAAGATATTTACACTAGAAACTAAAACAAAAACACTTGGAAGAATTTGTGTTTTTGTAGTGAACCATATTTTTTTAACTGGTTTTTGGGGGGAACGTTGAATATTGACTTACAGGAAAAGTTTCTTGGCTAAATGCATGAAACTGAGATGAATCTATGAACGACGATTTTTGAGTCTTGCAACAGATTCTAAACTTGAGTGAAGTTTATTTGTGCAGCACACTTGAGGAACAAGGCAGCTTCACATCATAATTTTTTTTTATTGTAATTAGCTGGATTTCTCCAGGTAATTTGATTAAGGACAAATTCTTATCTTCAAAAATACATTTAAAAAAATCATACACCAAGATATCGTACATGCAAAAAACAAAATATCAAAAAATCAGAGAAAGAAAATAAAAAACAAACCATATTCATAATGACTAAATGTACTCTAATACGCAAAGTCCACAGTTTTCAAAAGCAATTATATTGATCATTTATTATTGTTTTTACTGAGTTGATGAAGTTTGGCTTATTGAGCTTCAGTGGCTTTTGCAAGCGGTTGCAGCAAAATGAAATGATGTTTTGCCTAATTATGTACATAATACAGTAAACAATTATGAAATTATGGTCTGTGAGGTCAGTACAATAAACACTGATCTTTACTGTAGTCCATTTAACCATTTAGTTTAGGTTATGGTTAACGTTTTGCTGGAAAGTGAACCTTCACTTCAGCTCCATCTATTCTGAAAACATTTTCTTGCTATGCATTTTATTAAATCAGAGAATGCGTTTCCTTCCACATTGGTTATGCACTGCTTTGATGCCGTCTGCCGCGTAAAATACCAATAAAATACATAAACGTTTGTCGCTGCATGGTGACTAAATGTGCAAAAATTTAAGCATTTTGAACACTTTTTCGGGGGACGGTACCCAAGCTGCTGCTCTACGGTCAGACACTCCAGCTGTCCAAATCGGAAACCATGACATCACTTTCTTCAAACCTCTTTTGGGCGCATTTTGAGGTGTACAAGCTATAAGGATTTGCACATAAGGGCATTATTTAGTTTTAATTTTCAAGGGACATTGGCAGGGGCCAAAAAAATAAAACACCAAACAAGCACAAGGTGGGCAAGATAAACTGGAAGAACAAAAACCGGCTCGCAGTGAAAGTTGTTTCTGTCAGGCAGCAAATGTTTGCAGTCAGCAGTTCTGAGCACAAAATAGATATATATATATATTTTTTTTTTTCCAATTCATTTCCTCTTGAGACTTTTCATGTGTGGAAAAAATATCTGATATACACACAACAGAGCTTTGTAAGAAAAAAAAAAAGAAAATATAGTGACACCAACCAAATTAGCCGGAAGCTTTCATTGTGTTCATGAACCTGAGTTTTCCCTGTGATCCCCATAAGGCAGCGCGCGGTCGGGCTTCTTGTCTCTTCCTCATCTCTGTGGTCTCAAGCTGGAGGGGAAGAAACGCTTTAAAACTTTGGGATTTTAAAATGTTTCCGGTATAAAGTACGGCACAACTTTTCACTGACATCAGTTCCAGTCAAATTATTTGGTAAATCACTTTATGATTAAAGAATGAAATTATTGTTCTGAAGTTCCACTCTTGTGGGCATGGGTCCATTTTAAACACCAGGTGAAAGCTTCTGGTGTTTCAGAAGACACTGGTCTTCTTGTTTGCTTTCCAAACATCACTGGATAGCAACAATGAAAAAAGACAGTCAGCTGTGTAATTATTTTGGATATAAAAACAAAGACATAATTCTGAACAACCCCATCCATCATGCTGCTTTTGTAGGAATGCACCGATTGCAGTTTTGTGGACGATCACCGATTTTTAAAACACCTTGACCTGCTGATTAAGATTGAAAGTTGAAAAGTCACTAAGTGTAGAATGAAAGTTGCTGAGTTGCCAACAGTGGGGTAACGGCGCGCACGCAAGCGTGACTTGTGGGTGGCGGGTCTGTCAGTCAGTGATGTGACAGAACGGGACAGAAGCTGATTTTTAGGCCTTTGCAGAAGCAGAGGAGAACTTTAGATAAGATCGGGTTGCCATGAAAGAGATTCCCGATTGGAATCGGAGCCGATTTATCTTCTTTGGAATTGGGAAACTGTATCAGATTTCATATCGGAACTAGTTTTCAAAAAGACAAAAAGTAATAATGATCATCTTAAATGATATTAAAGCAACTCGAAACAAAAACATTCACACAATACTACATTAGTGGATAGTAAATATCTCCACTTTCACAGGAGGGTTTTGTTCAGTTTGCCTCCTGTCCATGCTGCGCTACATCAGGTGGACTGATACGGCGGCTAGCGGCGTAGCTCAGAAACACCAACACATTGTTGTGACCAGAACATTCTCTGTTTGACAACAAGCAAGGTTCTTGTTACTGATGCAGCTTTGCAGAACCTCTCTTCAAAATGTTTAATCTGTGTCTTCGGGCTAATCCTGTTTTAAAACAAACAATTGCAAAAAACTAAGAGTAAGCATGTCTGCTAGTAAAATAAACAGCCTATCACAGGTGAGATAACAGAAGCTACATCCCAGTGTTGCTTTATAAACGGCTGAACCAAGGACAACTTTTCAGCCAAAACTATTTTGCATTTGCATTTTTTTAATGTGATATAGTTGAACATTTTCTTTCGAGTTCCCGTTCTGACAGAATTTTACTGTGAAATTATGTTTTTACGTGATTCTATTGTCTCAATCATACTAGCCCATGCCTGCACTTCAGAGAACCATGCTACCGAAAAGTTGCTTTAGCCGATCTACCCGAAGTTAAATTCTTGTCGTTTTTATGTGCAAGATTATTCTGCAGAATATAAAAATAATTTAGAAGAAGCTAAACACAGACATTGGAGACGGAAAACGTTTAGAAAGTGTCTTTCCAGGCTTGTTTACAGCCTGATTGAAAGTCGCCATGGATCCATTGATAATTCGTCCACAACGTTTGTATCTGCTTTCACTGTGGTATTTGTCTTCATCACCAGAATCAAATAAAATCCTAAAAGTCCAACTGAAACCAGAGTCCTTCCTAAGATTAAGTCCTCATCATCAAAAAGCACAACAGTTGTAAAATTTTTTACAAAAATTTAGTTTGTATTTTTTTTTTTAAATCTTATGTTTTTGGTTGTTTCATTTTTTGTCACTCTTTCTGATGAGAGAACACAACATGCACAGAGGTGATATTATGATTTGTGTAGCGCTTCCTTTTCCATTGTTGTTGCTGACTAATAAATTAAAGCTCTATATTTTATAAGAATGGTATGCTCCAACTTGTTCATTGTGAATTGCTTGATGCTGAATGTTTTTTTTTTTTGTTTTTTTCCTCCATGTTCTGCCCGGAAACCTCTTGATCCTTGGAATAAAGTTGTACTTGTCAAAATGATGATGTATGCACATTTGTGTAAAATAAAAACACTGCATTTGCAGATTGCAATGAAACTTCTGTAATGAGTGTGTAGTGAAATAACACTGAGACTTTTTCAGTTCATTTCAGTGGCCTGAATGGTGCAGCGTTGCTCCGTTGTATGACTGTTGCCTTCAGTTATTATAAAAATGCTCCATATATTATGTACATTTTTCATTTCAGTGACGGCGGATAAACTTCTTGATTCAAACGCCTTGAAACTGGGCCTCTGTCTCTTCTTGAAACTCAGGAAGTGATCACAACATTGCTCCTCTATTAACCCTGTAACAATGTTTTTACTAAGAAGTAGATCATACAGTGAGCTCAGCAGGTGTGCAGTTCCACCAGGTGTTTGCTATTTGCTGCTGGCTAGTCTGAAGGAGTGGTTGGAGGGCTGCGCTGAGGTGGAAGCTGCAGCTCTGAGGAGGACAAGAATTTCTCAGACATGCATGAAAGAATCAAAGCAACACTCCAGGTATGATTGTGATTAAAATGTAAAGCTGAAAAAGGTCAATTTTACATAATATTGCTCATTTAAAGTATATTTACAAATTCTCACTTTTTTTATAGGTTATTTTTATGTCTTTAAAAGTGATATGATTTAAACTCGATTTAAAACTACTTTAAATATTCTGCAAGTTTTTGTACGTGTGGAGTATTTTGTTTAATTCGGTTTCCATTTGTACATATATGGTTCTACTCATTCTGCAGCCGTCTGCCACAGGGTGTTATAAGCCCATCATTTATCAGTTTGCACTTTTCAAACTGACTTGAATAAAGAATATTTGTTGCAGGAGGTCAGTTATTTATTTTATCTACCTTATTTAATTTTGTTCAAATAAACATTGCAGCATATCGAGACATTTTGGATCATTTTGACTCCCGACTCAGTGAGAACAATTTGGATGAAGTAAATGAATTGAGTTACTAAAAATCATTAGTTCAGCTCAGGTTTGCCTTGCATGAGGCAAGTAAATGGCACCAATGATGCAAATAAACCACGTTACATTGAAATGAGCTCAATAATTTCCATAGCCTATTGATGATTTTTCTATTTTCTCTCGTTCTACCAAAATCGGGGTGACAAAATCTTCAGTCTGGTTTGTTTTGTTTTTTTTTGGACAATTTTGTATATCGAGACTTCATAATTTATTTTATTTTTGTTTTTATGTCGTTAATTTGTCTAAAATGGAAGACAAAATATCTTCCTGTTTCAGTGTTAAATGTTCATTAGAATTTAAAGTTTAATGTTTGAGAATATGTTCTTGCATTGTTATGCCATTACCATTATATTACTTGAAAATGGCCTCAATAACAATATTGTCATTTAACTCAATAACGTCTGGGACAATTTCTTGTCCAGCAAAATGTATTATCATGTCAGTCCTACTTATTATTTTCTTTGATGTTAGATAAACTAAAGCATAGTTAGTGTTCTTGTTGGGTTGAACAATGGTTCAGATGGTGAAATGAATTTTTATCTCTTCTTCAGTGCTTTTTTTCCCTGAGTATAGAATGACTGAAGTCACATAGAGGATGAAAAGCATATGAGGGTATGCTTACAGCACTAGATGAAAACAGGCTGTCAGTGGGTCAGAATTCTTTCAGTCCCTGCACCTCATAACTGACCAGCCCATGAATGAGTCATGCTCTCCAAAACAAATCTAGGCCAGAAGTAAAAATGGCTGCCAAGAAAGAGAGTGAGAGAGAAATAAAGCGAGCAGGGAGGGACCAAGATGGAAAGAATGTGTATTTCAAAACACTACAGGGTCAATACCTCTGTAACACAGGCCTCCATGCATCATGGACAGGGTCCTATGCCCCATGGAGGCAAATTTGGCTTTGGGGTCCTCTATTTCTGCTAACAATGTGGATCTAATTTACTCTTAGGGGCACCCTGGTGCCTGCGGTACATACCACAGCTCTACTTTGGGTAGACAGAGGAAGGAATCGGAGATAGATAATAGAGGAAAGTACCAGAGGTGGATACAACAGGTAGGTACTGCAGGTATATACCAGAGGTGTATGTGACAGTTAAGTACTGGGGGTAGATATCAGAGGTAGATACCGGAGATAGGTACCAGAAGTAAATACGATAGGTAAATATAATAGGTAAGTAACTCGGGTAAATAGGAGACTTAGGTACCTGTGGTATCCACCTCCCATACCTAGCTTTAACTGTTGTATCCACCTCTGGTACTTACCTATCATATCTACCTCTGGTACCTACCTCCACTATGTACCTGGTACCTAGCTATCATATCTACTGCATACAGGTAGGTGTTCACCTCCAGCACAACAGGTAGGTACAGGTGCCTACCTGTGGAATCCACCTCCAATACCTACCTCTGGTACCTATCTGTTGTGTCCACCTCCAGTTCTTACCTGTCATATCCTCCGGTATGACAGGCATTAGAGGTAGATACGAAAAGTGCCTACCTGTGGTATCCTCCGGTACCTACTTGTGGTACCCTCCTCCGGCACCTACCTGTCGCATCCACCTCCGGTACCTACATGTCGTATCCACCTCCAGTACGACAGGTATAAGAGGTCAATACCACAGGTGCCTACTTGTGTTATCAACCTCCAATACCTACCTCTCGTACCTAACTGATGTATCCACCTCCGGTACTTACCTATCATATCCACCTCCGGGAAGCTACCTGTCGTTTCCACCTCTGGTACCTACCTCCACAAAATACTTGTCATATCCACCTCTATGGATGTGACAGGTAAGTGAGTAGGTATCTCCTGTTCTAGGAGGTACCTACGAAGTGTTACCTGTCCACCTCCGTTACCTACCTGTCGTGTCCACCTCCGGTACCTACCTGTTGTCTCCACCTCTGTTACCTTCCTGTCATACCTGTTGTATCCACCTCCAGTACCTTCCTCCTGTACTTACCTGTCATATCCACCACCATGGATATGACAGGTAGGTACCCATCATATCCTACCTATCTTAGGTACCTCCTGTCTGAACAAGCCTAGTGACAAGCCATTCATTTGATTCACGTGCAATGGAGCAATGATGGATGTTAAAGTTGCAGTATGGTTGCTCTTGAGGACTGGACTTGAGCTTTCCTGTCCCTTAGGTATCTACCTGTGGTATCTGCCTATGGTATCTACATATCTAAAAGATAAATAGATACAATAGATAGCAACTATTGTGATTGATTAGTCGAGCTATCAATAGCTTATTGCTATCCATCCATCCCAGCTATATAGCTGGTTAGTTATCAGACTGACACATCATAGGTATCTGCTGTGATCACTATGATGAACATTAAACATCAAAGCCAGTTAGGATGCATATCTGTCTAATATCACTGTTAAGCAATATCACATTGAAGCAATCCTTCAATCAATTGAGATTGCCAGCTGGTTTGCTTTAGGTGACTATCCAGCAAGTTTATACTAACAGCTGAACTGTTTTTTTTTTGTTTCTATTTAGTATTCATCATTGGTTGTTTTCTTTTCATTTTTTGGTTTTATTTGGATTTTATCTGCTTTTAGGGAAAAGGTGGGTGCACCCTGGACAGGTTATAGTGCATCACAGAGCAACCCAGAGACATACCAAACAAGCAACCATATGTACCTGAAGGGACTCTCAAGAAACCAATTAATTTATCATGCAAGACCTGCCATGTTTTTGGCCTGTGGGGGGAAGCTGGAGTACCCAGAGAGAACCCACATATGCACGGGGAAAACATGTAAACTCCTTGCAGAAAGAACCCAAGTTGGTTTTCGAACCTGGAACCTTTTTGCTTTAAGGCAACATTGCTAACCACTGTGCCACCGTGCAGGCTGCAGCTTACCAAGATTACTTTGAAAAGTAGTTGCAGGTTTACCATACTTTTTAGCATGATGTCCATGTTGCATGTTTTAAGGGATACTGTCAGTCCTATTTATGACAGTTGTGACATAGGACAATAAAATATAGATGAAACTTGAGTGTGTGTATGTATTCTTAATGTTTTTTTCTGTGTTGTTCATCATTGTGTCTTTTCACCTCACAGGTTTTTATTTAGTTCTATTTAGTGGGATGCCTTCTGTTTCTGTTGAAGCCTGTATTTGGGGTTAGGCCTGCGTTTGCATATGGGCCTGAGTTTGGATACCGCCGTGGGTTTGAACAATGGCCTTGTTTCGGATGATAGCCTGGGTTTGAATAGTGGGTTGGGTTTGGATAGAAACCTTGGTTTGTGTTAAACACTGGGTTTCCCTGGGGGCTTCTGTAAGGTGGAATTCTTTTGTTTCCATTCAGGCTTCCATTTGGGTGGTGGCCTTTGTGTTGCTGGGAGCCACTAACTGTATGAAGTCGTGGGTTTGCACGGTGGCTTGTTACGATGGACTCCTGTAATTGTGTAGAGGCCTCTGATGGCACAGAAACCTCTGATGGTGTGGAGACCTCTGATTGATTAGAGCAGTCTTTTTGAGAGGGGACTTTGTAATCATCATCTTTTGAAGCAAGGTTAAGCTCTACAGTCAGATTTACAATGCAACTTTGCATAGATTGTATTTTTTTCTCCTGTTCCTTGCATTTGGTGTCAAGTCCAAGGTAAGTCTTGAGCTTGTCCTCACATTTCAGTCTTAGTTGGCGTTCTTCGACCAAAGCTTTTTCCAGCATTGCATTGTTCAAGTCATGTTTTTCAGCTTGCTTCTTCAGGACATTGAGCTCATTAAGAAGGTCCTCATAAACTGCTGCTTTGGGAATGTCCTCCACCACAGATCTTTCTTGCTCCTCCTCTTTCTGGTCACCTTTGATTTTCATTTGGCGTTCATTCTCTAAAGCTTCCTCCAGCTCCATGATCTTTTTCAGGTAGGCTGTACATTCCACTTGAACTCTAATTCTTTGTTCTCTCTCCTCATCAAGATCGGAAGTTTTAAGTTGGAGGTGCTTCTTAAGGTCGGACACCTGGTTCGTGAGACTAGTGATTTGTTTGGTAGCCTGTTCAATGTACCTAGAATAGTGGTTAAATGCTGAAATATTATTTCTGCTCTGCTTGGGATGTTGACAGTGGGAGGCTTCATATCTAGAAAAGGCCTCTGTAAACTCCCTGTTTGAGTA